CATCATTCAGTAAATGTGGCAGAATTTTACACATTTATACACAGTCTGTATGTGTGTACTCTGTCTGCACACTGCCTAATGGGGCAGAGTGTCTGACCATGTAAAATCCACTGAAGGAATGGAGATACAGCACTAACTTTAAAAATAGTACTTAGTGCCATCTAGGTGATGTCCTTCGGCCTATAATTAGTGAAATAGCCTCTCTTCTGAAGATTGAACAGTGCCTAAAGGCAGTGTATAAAACTTTAATGTGTTTTGGATGCAGCTCTTATAATGATTTGACCTTGCTCATGATTGCAGCAACAAGGCCTGAATTACATTTCTAGAGATTTCTTGCTGAAAAAAAAAGAAAGAAAACAATTTATCTTTTTAAAACACAAAAAAGGCCAAAGACAAATGGTGCAACATCAAGCAATTCTTCTCTCAGAGTGACTTAATATACAGAGATATGGAGCAGATAATACAGTCAATATTTTGTATGCTCATATTTTAGGGAGTAACAAGAGATGTGGGTCACAAATGAATAGTTTATTCTTGAAGACAAGTCATTGGCTCACATTCTTAGACACATTCATATTCTCAAGCTCTTTTATTCTATTAAACCTGTGATCTAGATGAGTACTATTTACGTTGATTTTTAAATCATTTAAATAATGAGTTTTTTAAAAAGAATGAATAAAATATGCATAATATTACAGAGTTTTTCATTTTATAGAATTTTATAAAACCATGTATTTTATGTTATATATGGGGGGAAATTTGGAAAAAATTGAATGTATATTTAAAAACCAGAATATATTAGAATGATACAAAGCATACAGTACCTACTGTTTTATTGAAATATGGAAGATATGCCTGAGCATTTTTTGTACAACTATATATTTGAATTTACAACCGTATTCAGATCAAACCTATTTTTTAAATGCCATTGAGAGTTTATAATTAAAGTTATAATTATATTCTGGTTTATAATTATATATACTGGATTTGCATTTATTCTAGATTTATAACTGTGCATGTATACATATTCAGAATTTGCAATAATGTAGTCATTTACATTTATATTTTCAAGTTGACAAATATATTTGCAGGATTTATAATTTTATGGTCAGATTTACATGTATATATTAAGTTTTACAACTATATATTTGGATTTTCAACCATGTTCAGATCAGACTTATTGTTAACTGCCATTTAGACTTTATAATTATAGTATAGATTCTGATTTATAACTTTATATTCACGATTTGCATTTTTATATTCAATATTTATAACTGTGCATGTATATTGAGGATTTATAATTATGATTTACATTTATATTTCCAGTTGTACAACTATATGTTCAAATTTACAGCTATATATTCAGGATTTATAATAATATAGTCCGGTTTATATATTTATTATAGTGTAGATTCTGATTTATAACTTTATATTCACAATTTGCATTTTTATATTCAATATTTGTAACTGTGCATGTATATTGAGGATTTATAATTATGATTTACATTTATATTTCCAGTTGTACAACTACATGTTCAAATTTACAGCTATATATTCAGGATTTATAATAATATAGTCCGGTTTATATATTCAGGGTTTTCAGTGTTTCTAATTATATATTCCAATTTGTAACTATTATTCAGATTTGATCAAATTATTGCATTACAAACCTAATGAACAATATGAAATTAGCTTCTGTTTGCACGTGACCTCTGTATGATGGTAGTACAGAGTCTTTTATTCAAGCAGTTGAGCATGTTCTAAACTCCCAGAGCTGTTAAATGGCAGCATGCAGTGCTTTACTTTAGCAGAGTATCATTTTACAAAGGATTGTGTTTGCCTGAGCATTGGATTTCCCTGGTGGATGTCTAGAGCATTCTCATGTCCCAGTGTTGTCACAGGTTGAGCCATCCTCTCAGGTTCCTTCAGGGCCTCAGTGAAACACAGATAGTAAATCAACAGAATTGCAGTGAAAGCATTGAGGAGAATTCATACTATGCCGTAAATAAAAGCCAGCATTTTTCGTTGCTGTGTTGAATCAGACTTCATGGCTGAGAGGAACAAGAAAAAAAAGACACTTAAAGCTGGAGATTTGAGAGCAGAGATGCATCTTTCTGCATCTTTTGATGTTTGATGATCTGATGTATCTCTCACTCTCACTAATGTGGGAGTAAACCGTAGTCATTTTATTGGTTAGTAGTTAGTACTCCACTCTAGTTTCCATATCACTTACTTTGTTTGGTGAAAAAGTAGATGTTTAAGTAGATAGTTTACCAGCTGCTCTGTTTATACAACAAAAGCATACAGTGACCACTGACCAGGGACAAAAAAGCACCATAAAAGTGGTTCATACAGTTTGTGCAGCATATTCAAAATCTTCAGAAGCTGAAATATACATATATTTAATATATAAAAGTAAAGTTGTTATTCACTAAAATGACTTTCAAATTTCATTCACATTTCATTCAGTCAATCACATTTACATACATTCAAACATGGTCTGTAAAAATGCCAAATGCTATTGATTTTTGCATGCTTTATAGCCAGTTATGACGCACCAAGTTTGAATAAAGAGAAACAGATTTCATCAAATTTTTCAGCGATGTGTTCCTCAGACAAGTTATCAATATACACTACCATTCAAAAGTGTGGCGTCAGGAGGACTTTACATTCTCTTGAAGATTTTAATACTTTTATTTAGGATGCAATGATTGACAGTAAAAACATTTATATTGTTGCAAATACAATTTCCAATAGATGCTGTCCTGATGAAAATTTCTATTCACAAAAGAATCCTGAAAAAAGTATCGCCGTTTGCGCAAAAATATGAAGCACAACCATTTTAACATTGGTAATAATAATAAGAAATATTTCTTGAGCATCAAAACAGCATTTTAGAATGATTTATAAAGGGTCGTGTGACACTGAAGACTGACTGTTGAAAATTGTGCTTTAACAATTTTACTATATTTTTACTGTATTTTTGCTCAAATAAATGCTGCTTTGGTGACCATAAGGGACTTATAAACCATTAAAAATAACACCAAACTTTTGAACAGTAGTGTAGCTCGCATGAGGATGATGAAAGAATTTTTATTTTTGAGTGAACTTTTCCAATAAGCTTGTATTGTCTTTTCATATTTTCTTGCCCTGAGGAGACAACAAATGTAGAAAAACTTGAACAGTGCAAATGAGGTTATATACTCTGAGCAGAGTTTTCTTTAAATCTGAAGCCACTGACTTCACCATTATCCGGTCCCATTTAGTTAACTGTCACTGTGTCCCTATACCAGCTGCGAATCCAAACTGTGCTTCGGGCAATAATTTGCTGGGCTGTCCCTCAGTGAGGCCAGGCTCTTCCAAATGGTGTTTTTATACAAAAAATCACAACAGAGCACCCTTCTGTGGGATATAAGAGAATGAAAGAGAACTGAGGATAAAGTGAACACTATTTATATATTAATGCATACTGTCCTTGCCTCTCCCTTCCACCATGTGAAAGCCTGAGAAAGTAGAATGGTCAGAGTTCTTCTCACTAGTCATAAGCGTTGTGTGTGAGAGAATCAGACAGGAGTACTATGATTGTGTGGCTGCGCCCTAGAGATTGGGGAGGATTTTTTCCACAATTCAGCTGTGAGCTGCCATCTGGGAAAGCGGGTCAGCATGGGGAGGAAATAGATTTATAATGTCTCAGTGAAATATACATGTACAGGAGTGATCCATCATGATTCTGAAGATGGTCATGCATGACTGTGAGACATCTGATGAAGTCTAGTTCTCTTGATTATAGCAGATGTTTTTGTCACGTGTATGTTCCCGTTGAGTTCCTGTTTTCCTTATTTGGTCCTTCCTGTTCCTGTCCCAATGTAGTTTGATTTGTTCCAGGTGTGTCTCATTATTAGTTATCCTCATCACCTGTCTGCCCCTCGTCATCTGCCCTATTTAGTTCTAGCCCGTTCTGTTCTCCCTTGTCTGGAATTGTTTGTCAACTCTTTGTGCTACGTGTGATTCCCTGAAAAAGATAATTAAACTCCTTTGTTTTGTACTCCTGGTCTCCTCGTTCCTCGCTCCGTGCTCTTCACACTACCACCAATCGTGACAGTTTTATAGTAAATGTTAACTATCATTTTTGTATTAGGTATTTTAAGATATTTATTACACATTAAAAAATGCACTACAGTTCAAAAGTTTAAGGTTGTTAAGTTCTTTTGAAAGAGGCCTCTTACGCTCACTTAAAAATACTGTAAAAACAGTAATATTGTACATTATTATTACAATTTGAAATAAATGTTTTCTATTTGAATATATTTTAAGATTTAATCCTTTGGCAAAGCTGAATTTTCAGCAGCTATTACTTCAGTCTTCATGTCACATAATCCTCCAGAAATCATTGTAACATTTCTTATTGTGATGTTGAAAACAGTTGTGCTGCTTAATATTTGTGTGAAAACAGTGAAACATTTTTTTCAGGATTTTTTTTTTATTATTCTTTGAATTGAAAACACCGTTTATTTGAAAATAAATCTTTTGTAACATTGTAAATGTCTTTACTGTCACTTTTGGTCAGTTTAATGCATCCTTGTACAATTATTTAATTAATTTATTAAAACAAAATCTTATTAATCAGTAGTGTACATGTAACAAATAAAGATGCTTTGAATATGTAATATTTATAGTAAAAATGATTTACAATAAATTTGAATGTAATAGAAAACTTTAAATGTGAATATTAGTTCATGATTTGCTTTGCCTTTGATACTTTGATCATATAAAACCCAAAAATGTAATTGTGGAAACAAAACATTGTCTCAATAGTGTCACACAGTATAAGTAGTTCTTTAAAAAAAAGTATTAAAATGTATTGCTGCCTTTATATTGTAAAAAGGTTTTCCTCACAAGGGAATCATCATATTTGGGAGTCCTTGGTATCAAAACTTGAAAACCCCTTGCATAGGCTGTGAATTCCCATAAACTGTATCATTGGTGTGTTTTCTCAACAGGATTCTGACCGTAGTGGGGCCAGACTTTGATTTGCGGACACTCAGGGCAGTAAGAGTCTTGCGGCCACTCAAACTGGTGTCTGGAATTCCAAGTAAGTTGTATTAAAAACAATCTTTTTTGCAAACAAACAAATAAATAAGAGGATACGTTTAGAAATCGTTTTTGATAAATTGTTACCCAGATTACTAGTCTTTGCATTTAGTTGTCTAATTGATTGACCGTTATTACTATTTATAACTTGCAGTACATACTGTATGTTCTCTGTATGTGATTAGGTCTCCAAGTGGTTCTGAAGTCCATCATGAAAGCAATGGTTCCTCTGCTTCAGATTGGCCTTCTGCTCTTTTTTGCTATCCTCATGTTTGCCATCATTGGTCTAGACTTTTACATGGGCAAGTTTCACCACACCTGCTTCAGAAACGATACTGGTATGTGAGCTTTAGCATGCTAATGGAGCTTGCGATTTCAGTTTATTGTGTTTATAAGCACTCATACGCTCTTAAGTTGCTGTAAAGATCGCTGTGATAGTTTACGGCTGACAGTAATGTTGTTCTATAAGGGGAACAGGCAGCTGACTTTCCATGTGGGATGGAACCTCCAGCACGGACGTGTGAAGGCGACACTGTTTGTAGGGTTTACTGGACCGGTCCAAACTTCGGCATAACAAACTTTGACAACATCCTGTTTGCTGTGCTCACCGTCTTCCAGTGCATCACTATGGAAGGATGGGTGGACATCCTTTACAATGTGAGTGTAATACTAATAGCTTATTGCCTATTTACAGTTAAACAAATTAAGAACAAAAATTATTCTCCTTCAGCTGTTTTGTGGACTTCACTACAAAAGAGAATATTGTCAATTTTACAGTAGTTTAAAATTGGACTTTTTGTTTTTTTTTGTTAAAACCTAAAAGTTGTCAGTGTATCTTTTACATACACTACTGTTCAAAGCTTTGGGGTCAGTAAGATTGTTTAAAATGAGTACTTTTGGCCAAAGGTGTCAGTAAAGACATTTATAATGATCTTGAGAAAAGAAAAGACTCTTGAGAAAAGCATATCACAGTTTCCACAAAAATGTTAAGCAGCACAACTGTTTTTAACAATGATAATAATATGAGATGCTACTTGAGCAGCAAATCAGCATATTCAAATGATTTCTGAAGGATCTTGAGACACTGAAGACCAGAGTAATAGCTTCTGAAAATTCTGCCTTGCCGTAACAGAAATGTATTAAAATAGAAAACAGTTATTTTAATATTGTAATAATATTCGACAATATTATTGTTTTTGATCAAATAAATGCAGCCTTGGTGGGCATAAGAGACTTCTTTTAAAACATTAAAAAAAAAAAACTTACCAACCCCAAACTTTTGAATGGTAGCCTAGTGTATATGCATTTAAACTGTACAGTCTTTCCATTCTGGGAAAACGTCCTGTTTCAAAAGGAAATAATATGTCAACACAGGAAAGAAAACAGCTTGTTTTTGTTGATACCACAAAAATTGAGTGATGGGAAACAAAGTGGTAGCTCATTTAAATAATCCCACAGCAGATCCAGGTAAGGTTGTATAGAATTTCCATTTCCATTTCCATATTTAATTTTTTTCATGAACCAAAACGTCAAAATAGCTAAATAATTTTGACATGTATGCATAGTGCTCTCATTTCATGGGCCTCTTATAAAATAATACAGAGCCAGGAGAGATAGGCACTATGTCCAAATTGAATTTTTGCCCAAAGCTGGATTTAAGTTATATTTATGATCTAGAATTAACAATCACAGTTAATGTGGCCCCGAAACCATTTAGTATTTTTAGACAATGAACAGTCATGAATAAGCTGCTAGTCTTCTAGTCCCTGTCATCTGTTTACTGCTCTTCTCGAATCATCGTCTGAATGTCATGAAGCACCAGGCTGTGCATTAGTCTCTGATGCCTTGCTGCTTGGAGATTCTGACCTTCTTTGAACCCTGTACTCTCAGAAGTATTACTACGTTGCTGCAGTTATTCAGGATCATAGACACCTGCCACCCAGTTTAGACACCACAGAGTCTGAACACTGTGCCATGAAGAGGTGATCCAGACTTTTGATTCCCATTTAAAGTCTGGTCCACTTTTTATTCTGACCGAGAAGTGTCTACTTAGAGGGGAAGAGTCCATATGAGTGACATCTGCATGTAGGGCTGGGCGGTATGACGGTCGTTATCGTGCCTATCCTTAGAGATTTTGCTATATTGTGTATTCCGCGGTATGCAAATATATCTGCGTAACATAGTACTGAGAAAATAAAGATCGCACACTTGGTAGAGTTATTAAGTGCAATAAGCAGTGAAAAAGAACTCAATGTGGTGCTCAAGCTGACTGACACACAGCCGAAGCATGCGGACTGAAAGCCCCTCTCTTGATAGAATGCGGTCGCGAAAACAGATCTCTTTTGTGTTTTATTGTGCTTGAATGGTCAAATATGCACACTGTAATGTCATAATGCCCGTCGTGTGGAGTATTCAAGTAAACACAGTCGGTTAGATGTTAAATAAATGTAAAACAATTGGTTGAAAACCGGATGTGTTTCAGTATATTGGATCCGTGCAGTCGGTCTTAAAGGGACAGCAGCCTTATTTACCTGCTGCTGTCTGTCATTATTAATGTTAATCATGTTTGATTGATACAGTGAAGACTATGCAGTGTTTTATTTATACACTTTATTCAATTTCTGTAATATTTCTCACTACATGTTAAATAAACCTAGCCTGCTGTAGCTGAATAAATTAAAAGTTTATTTCATATTTATTTGTTCTGTTGTGCTGTTTAATAACAAAAATGAAATAAAAATAGCTATATCGAGGTACATATCGTTATCGTGAAATTTCTCATACCGTGAAATAAGATTTTGGTCATATCGCCCACCCCTAACTGTATGACTAGTTTGCTTTTTTTGTGAGATGTTTAGTGACGGGCAAATCTGAAATCGATGATACCACAATAAAGTGGTAGCTCTTTCAAATAATGGCACGGCAGATCTGAAAAAAGGTAGTATAGATGAAAATATGTGTAGAAAATGTGTAGAAAATGTTTGTTTTTTTCAAATTTTTGTCAGTTAAAATAGTTCATCTGATTTTAAATGCTTCCAGTGAGGCAATGATGTAACTGTCACCTTTAATCTTGTACATAATGATACTATAGAGAGCCTGATGGGACAGATGTTTTGAAATAACCTTTTGACATGTCTGAGTCTTAGTTAGTTGAACCTTTTTGTTTTATCCCTAGATAAAACAAATAAAAAGCAGATTTACACAATCGTTCTGAAGTTTGGGGTCAGTATGTAAAGACTCGTGGTGTTACAAATAAATGCTGGCCTTTTGAAATTACTGTTCATGAATCTGGGAAAAAAAGTATCACAGTTTCCGCTATTGACACTGGTGACAAGAATTATGAAATTTCTATGGTATCAAAAATGTTGATGTCATGAAGACCTTATTTAAATCAAAAATAACTATATTGTGATATATATTGTGACCGTGAAATACAATTACTCATATTGTTTGGTCATATCGCCCACCCCTAACTGTATGACTAGTTTGCTTTTTTTGTGAGATGTTTAGTGACGGGCAAATCTGAAATCGATGATACCACAATAAAGTGGTAGCTCTTTCAAATAATGGCACGGCAGATCTGAGAAAAGGTAGTATAGATGAAAATATGTGTAGAAAATGTGTAGAAAATGTTTTTTTTTTTTCAAATTTTTGTCAGTTAAAATAGTTCATCTGATTTTAAATGCTTCCAGTGAGGCAATGATGTAACTGTCACCTTTAATCTTGTACATAATGATACTATAGAGAGCCTGATGGGACAGATGTTTTGAAATAACCTTTTGACATGTCTGAGTCTTAGTTAGTTGAACCTTTTTGTTTTATCCCTAGATAAAACAAATAAAAAGCAGATTTACACAATCGTTCTGAAGTTTGGGGTCAGTATGTAAAGACTCGTGGTGTTACAAATAAATGCTGGCCTTTTGAAATTACTGTTCATGAATCTGGGAAAAAAAGTATCACAGTTTCCGCAAAAATAGTAGAAAATAAAATCACAGTTTTCTACAATCAGAAATGTTCCTTCAGCACCAAATCAACATATTAGATTAATTTCTGAAGGATCTTGTGATGCAAAAAATTCAGCTTTGCAATCACAGGAAAAAAATAAACATTTTAAAATGTTAAAATAAAACGTTTATTTTAAATTGTTATAATATTACTGTTTTTACTGTATTTTTGATATAAAATAAATGTAGTTTTGGTGAGCAAAAGAGACTTATTTCAAAAATCTTACTGATCCCAAACTTTTGAACGGCAGTGTATCTCATAACAATGTTAGCAAGTGTAACATTTGAGCATTTATTTTATTAGTGTAAGTATATAATATTTCAGTGTTTAATCAAAGGATGGCTCCGTCTGTGGATGCATCCATGGGTGTTGTTTTTTCTTTTGTAAACGGTGTTTAGAGTTGGTGCTGTCAGTTAAGCAGTGAATTATGTTCACTTCATTTTTGATCTATAGGAGGCTCTGGTTCATCTTCCTTACACCAGCATGAATAATCTCTATGTCTGGTTTTTTAATTACCTAGTGTCTTTCCTTCCTCTCACCAAGACCAAAAATATCATGATTAATCACAGTGTCCTATGAAGCTATTAGTGTTGAATTTAGCCCTGTGGTTCTGGAGGATATATAGAATATGTGAGTGGACTGCTATCCATCATGAAGAGAGAGAATGTGTCTCACAGAAAGGTAATACGAATCGAAGATCTTTAGGAAGTGTTCGAAAGGCTAATGTGGGACATATTTGATTGAGCTGTTGAGAAGGAGAAGAAGCTGTGGTGGCTTGTCTCATTTTCATGTCATTACTTTAAAATCCTGTTGCTAATAGCCTCTTGCTGTCTTGCTGATGGTTCCGGAAGCTCACGATTAAGGAAAAATACACACACTGACAGGAATCTGTATGTGTGATCATTTATTAGACATCCGTATAGTGGCACGAGACTTAAATCTAATGGTGATTCTATTCAAGTTAATAAAACAAGCAGTGTGCATCAGACAACAACAAAAAAATAGACTTTATATATTATATATATGCATACATGAATGGATTGGATTAACTAAACATTTTATATATTATTTTTTATATATTGTAAATATATTATTACTATATATTTTATGAATCTTTTTAAAGTTATTTATTTATCTGTTTATTTATTCATCCTTTTAAAAAGTACTTTTACAAAAGCTGCTTTGTACGCTCAGTGTGCAGTTAGCTTTGTCCTCAGATGGTATGGACAGTATATATATTGGTTTAATTGAATGATAAAGCTGACATCTGGTCCTTGAAGTGGTAAGCAGCATTTGGAATGACAGAGATGAGATAGACGGATAGAGGCTAATGGTCCTGTGGTTAGCTAAGGGCTATTGCAACACGATACTGCACTAGGCTAATGGAGGAGGCCGGTCTGCTGGGGCTATGTGTTGCCTTTTGATGGTTTTAGTAAAGTAAGGGGGAATGTGCTTTTTTAAAAAATATATAATTTATTGAGGGAGAGGCAAATATGACTGAGCTGCTACCTTTTCTGTTCTTAAAATGATTCTCTTCGCACTGACCTTTCAGAAGTTTCCTCAAAACCCTTATAACTCATCAGTTGCCGTTTTTTTTTTTTTAAACAACAATGGTCAAAAATAAAGAAAAGGTTTTGTTAAAGGGATAGTTC